ACTCTGTCTAAAAAAAAAAAAAAAAAAAAAAAAAAAAAAAAAAAAAAAGAAAAGAAATGCAGAATCTGACTTACTGAAGTCAGATTTACTCCAGGTTTACTGAATCAAATCAGCATTTTAACAAGATTATTAGGTGATTCATTTGCATATCGAGATTTGGGTAGTGCTGCTTTATAGCAATGTCCTCTCTTGCCCTCCAGGGCTTTTACACGTTCTGCTTCCTCTCTTTGAAGGAACTCTCCTCCTCTTCTTTATATGCCTAACACTGTTCTACAGGACTCAGGCCCTTATCCAGGAAAATTTTTTGACTGGTGAAGGCTGGAACTACCATTTTACTCCTTTTTCTTTCCTACTAAACTGGAGTTTTCTAACCTAATTGTACTTTAGACTTAATCTGAGAATAAAAAATATACTGGACGGGTACAGTGGCTCACACCTGTAGTCCCAGCATTTTGGGAGGCCAACGTGGGTGGATTGCTTGAGGTCAGGAGTTCGAGACTAGCCTGGCCAACATGACAAAAGCCCGTCTCTACTAAAAATACAAAAATTAGCTGGGCATGGCGGCACACGCCTTTAATCCCAGCTACTATGGAGGCAGAGGCACGAGAATTGCTTGAACCCGGGAGTCAGAGATTGCAGTGAGCCAAGATCATGTCACTGCACCTCAGCCTGGGCGACAGTGAGACTGTCTCAATAAACAAACAAACAAACAAAAATACTGGTTCCCGGGTCCTGCTTCTAGAAATTTTAGTTTTAATTGGTTTGGGTAAGGCCTAGAAACTGGCATTTAAAAAAAAATATCCCAGATGATTATGATGTGGAACCAAATTCAGAAGCACTGCACTAGACTTCAAGCTTCTTTAGGACAGGGATTGTGTCAGATTCACTCTTGTTTCCCCAGAGCCTACCACAGTGCCAGGTACATACGCTATACTGGTAAATGATTGTTGTCCCTAATTTCTCGGGGATATGGAATCAGATCTGTCTTGTACACAGCATTCTATCTTATACCCTAACCCCTCTCACACATGTTAGCATCTGAGCATCCTTCTCATCAAAGCAAAGAACTACTTCTTGAGGAAAGAACTTAGAGTGGCATTTAAAATGCATCTCTAATCACCCTTGTATTTTGTTCTTAAACCAGTTTGATACTGATATAGTGAAGCTGCTTTATGTAATCGGGTGCTGATAGGTGCATTGTTTTGAAACACTGTCTCTATGTACCAGTTCCACAGAGCAAAACCACTAACTCTTTGTTTATAAACCTCTTGAGTCCTGAGAATTCAAAATAGTGAGGAGGTTGATGAGATCAATGCAATTATAATGAGTAGATTTTTAAAAATTAACCAGCTTTCTGGGAGGTTAAAAATACACTTGGGAATAATTTCCTTAATTATACCCTATTTTCTTACATTTAAAGTGACTTCTTTTTTTTTTTTTTTTTTTTTTTGAGACGGAGTCTTGCTCTGTCACCCAGGCTGGAGTGCAGTGGCCGGATCTCAGCTCACTGCAAGCTCCGCCTCCCGGGTTTACGCCATTCTCCTGCCTCAGCCTCCCGAGTAGCTGGGACTACAGGCGCCCGCCACCGCGCCCGGCTAGTTTTTTGTATTTTTAGTAGAGACGGGGTTTCACCGTGTTAGCCAGGATGGTCTCGATCTCCTGACCTCGTGATCCGCCCGCCTCGGCCTCCCAAAGTGCTGGGATTACAGGCTTGAGCCACCGCGCCCGGCCAAAGTGACTTCTTTAAAAAAAACTCTTAATATCTTATATTTATGCAGTGCTTTACATGTTGAAATTGTGCAAACTCAACTTTTATTAAATATCTTTTATTATCAATTGTGTATAATGCTATAGAAATGAAATACTGTAGTTGAGAGGACTCTTTCTGTCCCTGAGGTGTTTACAATTTATAGAAAGATGGAACAAAATACTTCAAAGAGCCCCCAACCTAGGTCTCATGAAAAAGACAATTTAAAGCATACATAGATAGCTGTAAGGAATGACAACATATGGCTTACAAACACCACAAAATCCATGCTTTCCAGGGCGTGTTCCTTGTTTATTATTGTAGCAGGCCTGAGGAGGTAGACAAAAGGCACTCTCTGTAGCTGCTAGATTTCCAAAATCCAAATCTTGTTTCAAAGAATCCTATGTTCCATTCAATAATTTTCCTTCTTAAATCCTGCATCATAAAACTTCAGTGGGCTTGTCAGGACCTGGGATGGTGTGGGGTGGAAAAAAAGCACCATACCTTTCTCATTACAGCTCTACTCAGAGCCACAGCCTGGTCATCAATTCACATCTCCCTTTCCAAAAAAGAAAAAAATAATAAAAAACCTGTTCAAGCTTCAAAAGCTTGAAATAGGACCAGCAATTAAAGTTTTCATCTACCTAAAGTTTTTTGTCATTCCAAGTAAGAGAGACCAAGCCCCCAGTTGCCCAGGGGAGCCGTGATACCATGTCAATTAGCAGGATTTCTAGGACATCAAACTACTCTTACTTTCTCTATAAAAAGTTAGTCATGAAGATTAATTTTCTTCTTTCTGTATCTCCTTGTAATTAATATCATACATTTTGAGGATTTCTGCATAGGCTATATGCTTGTGGTTTGGAATGGTTTGTACAAAGCATGCTGGTATATTCAGGAACTGAGTGTGGGATGTGACCTAAATATCTCCATGTTGTATCAGTTGAACTAACTAGATAGTTCAGTTGATTTGGAATAGACAGGACTCCCTACTGATTGACATGTATTGATTGATTGATAGAATTAACTAAATACAAAGATAATAGGTGAGTGATACTATATGGTTCTACATAACTTAGGTACTGGCACTTAGTACACAAAGCTTGAAGCATAACCTGAAAATCAGAGAATACAAATTAATATTGTTATTGCATTTATAAAATTAAGTCTACTACAACAGGCAGATTCTTGAACATTATTTTAGCCCCAAATTTTGGAGATAGCTTACTCTATAAATACTAGAAAAAGACACTTAAGATGCCTTAATAATTAAAACCCTAAAGTAGAAATGTCTTTATACTTTAACACGGATGTAACAAAATGAGTGCCTTGTCACTTCCATGTTAAGTTTTATACATACCAGTTAAATAATTCAGTTGTTACTAAGTAATGAGGGAGCTCTGTCCAAATGTCTGTGTGTTAGAAGATTCTGTAACAGAAAATTCAAATCCATGGATACTATTGATATTTGGCAACTGATATTCATAGCTTCAAAAATCAAAAGTTTTAGCTGGACATGGTGGTGTGTGCCTGTAGTCCCAGGTACTCCAGAGGCTGAGGCAAGAAGATTGATTCAACCTATCAGAATGACTATACCGTAATTAAAAGAAGAAAAATAACAAGTGTTGGCACAGATGTGGGGAAACGAAAACCTTTATACATTGCTGGTGGGAATGTAACATGGTGCAAATTGAAAAGCTTTATGATTTCTCAAAAAGTTAAACATAAAATTATCATTCGACCTGGTAATTCCACCCTTATATATATATTTACAATAATTGAAAACAAGGACTGACACAAATACTTATATACAAATGTTAATAGTAGCTTTATTCACAATAATAGTAACTTTATTGACAATAGTCAAAAGGTGGAAACAACACAACAGATGGCTGGATTTAAAAATGATGGTATAATCATTCTCAGCAAACTATCGCAAGAACAGAAAACCAAACACCACTCATAGGTGGGAATTGAACAATGAGATCACTTGGACGCAGGAAGGGGAACATCATACACCGGGTCCCATTGTGGGGAGGGGGGAGGGGGGAGGGATAGCATTAGGAGATATACCTAATGTAAATGACGAGTTAATGGGTGCAGCACACCAACATGGCACATGTATACATATGTAATAAACCTGCAGGTTGTGCACATGTACCCTTGAGCATAAAGTATAATAAAAAAAAAGATGGTATATACGTACAATAAAATATAATTGAGCTGTAAAAAGGGAATGAAGTTCTGATACCTGTAACAACACAGATGAACGTTGAAAACATTTTGCTGAGTGAAGTAAGTCAGACACAAAAGGGTAAATACTGTATAATTTCACATATGTGAAATATCTAGAAGAGGCAAATTCACAGAGACAAAAAATACTTTGGAGATTACTAGGGACTAGGGGGAGGAGGAATAGGGAGTTACTACTTAATGGGCACAGAATTTGTCCTTGGAATGATGAAAAATTTTGGAAATCGATGGTGGTGATGGTTGTACAATGTCGTGAATATAATTAACGCCACTGAAATGTTCACTAAAAATGGTGAAAATGATAAATCTTATGTTACACATATTTTTCCACAATAAAAAGTGAGTCAAAATAATCACAGGCCCAGCACAGTGGCTCATGCCTATAATCCCAACAATTTGGGAGGTCGAGGCGAGTGGATCACTTGGCACCAGGAGTTTGGGACCAGACTGGCCAATATGGTGAAACCCTGTCTCTACTAAAAATACAAAAAATTAGCTGAGCATGGCTGGGCGCGCTGGCTCACGCCTGTAATCCCAGCACTTTGGGAGGCAGAGGCAGGCGGTCACGAAGTCAGGAGATCAAGACCATCCTGGCTAACACGGCGAAACCCTGTCTCTACTTAAAATACAAAAAATTAGCCAGGTGTGGTGGCAGGCGCCTGTAGTCCTAGTTACTTGGGAGGATGAGGCAGGAGAATGGCATGAATCCAGGAGGTGGAGCTTGCAGTGAGCCGAGATCGCGCCACTGTACTCCAGCCTGGGCGACAGAGCGGGACTGCATTTCAAAAAAAAAAAAAAAAAATTAGCTGGGCATGGTGGTGTACCTCTGTAGTCCCAGCTACTTGGGAGGCTGAGGCACAAGAATCACTTGAACCTGGGAGGTGGAGTTTGCAGTGAACCTAGATTGCACCACTGAACTCCAGCCTGGACAACAGAGTGAGACTCTGCCTCAAAAAAAAAAAGAAGTCACATTTGAAACATGATCTTGCAAATTGCTTGTTTTCTTGCAGCCCTTTTGTTACTCAGAGATCTAACAATAGTGCGGCCTAGTTATCTCTCTACTATAAGGACTATAGCATACAAAAGCAGAAGTTATATCTCTGTTGGTATAATTGAGCAAGTGCATGTTTGCTTAAGCATCTGGAAATTCAATTTAGGCTTCTGAGTTTAGGTTTTGGGTCCTTTCTGCAGAAGAATCCTCACTAAATGTTGACTCAAACAGAGCAAGAATGGACTTCTTGAAGACGTTTTTGAAGTTCTCCCCAGTAAATAAGTAGAGTGTGGGAGAAAAGATAGTATTGAAAGAAGTGGTTAGCACTGTAAGTATCAGAGTCAACTCTAAAAGTAGTGACTGGTTCTTAGTGAGAAGTAAACCCTGGTGTATATGATAGGGCATCCAACACACAAAGAAAGAGACAATGGCAGTCATCATAACTTTGAAGGGCTTGCTGGATTTAAACAGGCCCCTCTCTTTCACCTTGCTGGCTACTCTTTCATAACAAAAGATGATGATGAAGAAAGGCAGACGAAAGCCCAGGAAGAAGCGGCTGATGAAACAGGCTACATGAATCCACTGCCTTAATGCTTGCATCTCCTTGCTTTCCCAGTTAGTAGACACAGCATAGTTATTTCGGCAAGTCACCTTTCCTTCACGGTCATGATGTGTCTCTCTGAAAATCAAATACGGGATGCTGAGGGCAGCGGCTGAGATCCAGACTCCTAGGACAATGCCAGAAGCCCAGCGTGGGGTTCGGTGCTGCTGGGACCACACTGGGTGAAGAGTGAGAAGGTAACGATCAAGACTGATGGCCGAAAGGAAGAAAACAGAGGTGAACATCCCCAGAGACAAAGTGCCATTGAAGACCTTGCACAAGGCAGTTCCAAAGTTCCAGTGATTGTCCTGAAGTTGGGAGGTGGCCATAAATGGCAGAATCAATGTTGAAATAAAATATGAGAAAATGAGATGAAAATATAAGAGAGTATTGACAGTCTGTTTCATCTTGAATCTTAGCACCCATAGATAGAGGCCATTGGTGATGGTACCAATTATAGATGAAATGTACAAAGAAAGGGCAATAATCATTTTTGATGCAGGAGCTAGAAACTGAGTGCTGTTTCTTACTAAAGTAGAGGCATTGATCAGGTAATCAGTAGAATTGATCAGATCCATAATGACCTGTGGAGTGAGAAACAGTGCAAATAACAAGAAAAAAACAAAAGAAAAGGTTAAATGTACAAATTTAAAGAGTAATTTTTTACATAGTGATAGGTCTAGTCCAAATGATAATATTTTAACAGCGGTAAGCAAAATATTTCTGCAAATCAAATATTTTCCCAAGGTCTATACTTTTATGTTTTAATGAAGAATTAACATCAGATGAATCTGAGCATCAAAAGTAGAAATATACAGATGAAATGAAATAAATGTGAAAAAGAAGTAAATATTGGGACATTTTGACAATTGTTAAATAATTAGGTAGTTAAAAATCTATTTTTTTTTTTTCTGAGATAGGATCTCACTCTGTCACCCAGGCTGGAGTGTAGTGGAGTGATCACAGCTCCCTCAGCCTCGACCTCCTGGGCTCAAGGAATCCTCCTGCCTCAGCCTCCTGAGGAGTTGGGACTACAGGTGCACAATAGCAGGCTGGCTAATTTTTTTTTTTTTTTGTAGAGACGGGGGTCTCACTATGTTGCCCAGCCTGGTCTTGAACTTCTGGACTCAAGCGATTCTCCTACTTGGCCTCCCAAAATGTTGAGATGACAGGTGTGAGGCACTGCACGTGGTCAAAAATCTTCTACTTGGACATTAAGCAGAAGTCTGACCCTTTTTGATGGGCAAAACTTCTTGAATAAGACAATGTAGAATAAGTCTTATTTGACTTGGTGAGGGCAAAAGTTGCTAATGAAATGAACTTGAATAACAAAAATAATAGCAATGTGGCAAATTAGTACTCATGGGTTTTATAATTAGATTTCTCTCATGAGCTAATTATATATAGTAAATACTATTATCTAGTATTCTAATACTCAGCACATAATGGTGAGAACTAATATTCATATGGGAGTTGTAAGCCACCACAAGATTGTGAAGTATCTTCAGAAACATCAACAAAAGAGGGAAGTGTATTGTAAGATGTAGTAATTTTTTTTTGTTTTTTTGAGACAGAGTCTTGCTCTGTCACCCAGGCTGGAGTGCAGTAGCGTGATCTTGGCTTACTGCAACCTCTGCCTCCTGGGTTCAATCTATTCTTCTGCCTCAGCCTCCTGAGTTGCTGGGATTACAGACACTCGCCACCATGCCCAGCGAAGTTTTGTATTTTTGGTAGAGACAGTGTTCCACCACGTTGGCCAGGCTGGTCTCAAACTCCTGACTTCAGGTAATCCATCCACTTCGGCCTCCTAAAATGCTGGGATTACAGGTGTGAGCCACCGTGCCTGGCCAGATGTAGTAATATTAATAGTTCATTCTTGAGGAGGGGACAAAAAGGAGAAAAGTCACCAAACTCATGTTTATCCAATATTTGTGGTATGCCAGGAGCTTTCTATAAAAATCACTTCTGGCTGGGCACGGTGGCTCACGCCTCTCATCCCAGCACTTTGAGAGGCCAAGGCAGGCAGATCACGAGGTCAGCAGATTGAGACCATCCTGGCCAACATGGTGAAACCCCATCTCTACTAAAAATACAAAAATTAGTTGGGCGTGGTGGCGTGCGCTTGTAGTCCCAGCTACTCGGGAGGCTGAGGCAGGACAATCACTTGAACCCGGGAGGCGGAGGGTGCAGTGAGCCGAGATCATGTCACTGCATTCCAGCCTGGGTGATAGAGTGAGACTCCATCTCAAAAAAAAATAAAAATAAAAATAAAAAAATAAATAAAATCATTTCTGTTTTTCCTCGTAAAGCCTGTGAAGCAAATCTTTAAACAAAGGGGAAAGTGAGGCTTCGTTAGGTTACATGTCTTATCCATCAGTATTTTCCACCATGCCTCCATTGTACCAGGTGGGAAACTCTACTACTGTTTTATATTACTTCTTTGAAACTTGGTAATTCATATGTAGTGTTTTTAACAATGCTCCATGAATCAGTGTTTGATTATCTAAAATATACAATTCCTTGGATAATGGATCCCATGGTATCAAAAATATAAACCTGAGAATATTTTGGAAAATAGCTATTATAACAGAGTCATATCAGCAAATTGGTTTTAGATAAATTGGATAAAGCAATGGAAAGTACTAATGATGCTTTTTCCCCACTAAACAAAAACATTCTAAGAATATATACAGATAAGTAAGATAATTGCTATTTATTTTATTTTTATTTATTTTTTAGAGACAGGCTGGAGTGCAGTGGCACAATCCTAGCTCACTGCAGCCTGGAACTCCTGGGCTTCATCCATCTTCCTGCCTCAGACTCCAGATAGCTGGGATCACAGGTGTGCAGCACCACATTTGGCTAATTTTAAAATTCTTTGTAGAGAAAAGGGTCTTGCTGTGATGCCCAGGTTGGTGTCGAACTCCTGGCCTAAAGTGATCCTCCCACCTCAGCCTCCCAAAGTGCTAGGATTAAAGGCATGAGCTGCTGTGCCCAGCCATAATTGCTTTGTAAAATCACAACTTCCTAAGTTAATTCTGCCTTCTAAGGGAATTGCAAAATTTTTCTCTAAAGTAGAAAAATGATTTTTCAGGAAAATACCTTAGTAGTCTTCTTTGGGAATAAAAAGTAGAGTCTGAAGGGTACGAAATGGACAGGCAACGGCAAATCAAAGAATGAGAACTTGAGAGAGAAGCTTTGTGAAGGCCCTGGGACCTTAAGAAGAGGGTGGAAGGCAAGGATGACTTTAAGACACGCAGCACAGAAAAAACTCAACAGGAGTTTAGGAGTCCTAAAGAGGAGAAAGGGTCAATGAAGTATTCTGAGAAGCAGAAATGACACAGGGGATTTAAAAATAGGAACGTCTAATAATTACAATCTATTTGCTATGCTTTGATATGGTATAGTGTCCCTTTTCCCCATCAACCCTCAGCTGTCTTGTGCTGGTGGTGGTTCTGGGGAATCAAAGTCTCTGTGGTGTTTTTATCCATGGAGTTTGTGTGTAGAGGTGTGCCTGTGATCAGTGTATGTGTATCTCAGTGTATTTGTGTGGTCTCTGTGTATGTATGTGTCTGTGGTCTTTGTATGTTTTTCTGTGGAATGTGTGTATGTGTGTCTGTGTTGTGTGTGTGTAGTCTCTTTATGTGTGTGCATATGAGAAACTAGATACCTGAATTATAGGAAAGATTCTTCTTTTAATTGTGCATCTGAGCTCTAGAAGGACATCTGAAAGTAATGTAGAACATGGGCAAAATCATAGTACAACTTTTCTGATCCATGTTGGTAGTGATTCTGAATATCATATAAAGTTTCCTAGGAATTCTGACTTATTGCACATAACCAGGAGATTTCTTCATCCTTAAACACCTTTAAAATGATTTTAAAGTACTTAAGAATAAATAAATGGGGGCAGATCTCAGACTCTGGCATCCCACAGACCTGGGTTTGTATCATACCTCTATCACTTACCAGCTCTGCACGTTTAGACTTAACTTGTTGAGCCTTTTTCTCCTGCTAAGCCCCTCAGTTTCTTTTTTTTTTTTTTTTTTTTTTTTTTTTTTCAGACCGAGTCTCACTCTGTCTCTCAGGCTGAAGTGCAGTGGCGCAATCTCAGCTCACTGCAACCTCTGCCTCCTGGGTTCAAGCGATTCTCCTGCCTCAGCCTCCTCAGTAGCTGGGACTACAGGCACCTGCTACCATGCCTGGCTAATTTTTGTATTTTTAGTAGAGATGGGGTTTCACCATATTGGCCAGGCTGGTCTCAACTCCTGACCTTGTAATCTGCCCACCTTGGCCTCCTAAAGTGCTGGGATTACAGGCATGAGCCACCGCACCCAGCTACAAGTGGCTTTCAGGAAGACCCCACCTCCACTTGGGAACACTGAGCTGCAGGCGCAGGGGAAGGCCACAGGAGCCTCGGGAAACTGATGTGCAATAAGCCTAGAGGGTCAATTCAGATGATAGCTCTAGGAGAAACCTGCTAGTCCAGAGAATCTTACCTCGGAGCTGTATCTTTATGCCAGATTGGTCTTGAGCAGGCCAAAGTGACTCTACACCATCAATCTTCTCACTAGGAACAGAGTGAACAAAATCAATGCCACTTTGCCTTCATTTCATACGTCTTTCTTCTGGCTGATGCTACTCCCCAAGCTTGAACTTACTATTATTTAAATACTCAGTGAGATCTTTTCCTCTTTTTGGTTCCTTTTTTCTGTGGAATTTACTGCTATAGAGATATAGTTAGAGAAATGAGTACTTCTTCAAATCATTTCTCCATTTTGAGGGACATTAAAAAATATCTGTAAGTGACCAAGTGCAGTGGCTCACACCTGTAGTCCCAGTGCTTTGGGAGGCCGAGGCAGGAGGATCACTTGAAGCCAGGAGTTAGAGACCAAAATTAAAAAAAAAAATAGCCAGGCCTGGTGGTGCACACCTGTAGCACTAGCTACTTGGGAGGAGAGGCTGAGGCAGGAGGATCACTTGAGCCCAGGAGTTCGAGGCTGCAGTGTTCTATGATCATGGTGGTGAATAGCCACCATACTCCAGCCTGGGCAACAGAGTGAGACCATGCCTCTCAAAAGAGACAGAAAGAGAGACAGAGAGACAGAGAGACAGAGAGCGAGAGCGAGAGCGAGAGAGAGAGAGAGAAAGAGAGAGAGAGAGAGAGAGAATTTCATAGGCTGAGTCATTTCATTTAAAAGGCTAATAAGCTTGTTTCAGGTGTTAATTCCCTTCTCGTATTGGGACATCCCCCCAGGCACCCACTCTGCCTCAACTCTAGGGTGTTTGTTAGGATATGGATGGATGGTGTTGGGTACATAAGGAGGTGGTAAATATCAAGCAGGGACCAAAATAAACTCTGGAAATGAGCTACCTAATCTTGCTGAAGAGAATATAGTTAGAAGCAAAAACTTAAACAGTGAGTTTCACATTAAAATGGAATTTATGAGGACAGGCCAGAGATTTGTATTGTTCAGTTTGGGATGGTGAAGACTGACAGGCAGAACAATCTGCATCTGTATGATGGTTGTAGAATGGTTGGAAAAAACCAGAATTAGTTACTACATCCTAGAAGATG